TACTTTATGACTCATAGTTTGATTATCATCCATACATAAACTCACCTATACTGGACCTGTTCCTACTACTAATTTCAAAGTTTAACAAAAAGATTAGTTTCATCCGCTTAAAAATGAACTCCTATTCTAAATCTTTAAGTGTATATGGCATATTCTTATGAACTGTTAAAAAATACTACTCTGTCTTCTATCTTATACTTTACTTTACTTTACTTTGATTGTTTTGAAAATGGCCTGGATACATGCATCACTTATTTATTTTTTAAACAATTTCCACCTCACTTAACAAAAAAGCTTAGGCCTACGTAAATTACCTGATTTATATTTTTTATGTTATTTTGTTAAAATTCACCATTTTACCGTAACTGGTCCAACAAACCTTTTTTATAATACACTATGATGCATTCCATCTGGTTAAAAAGTGAAAACCATTTGAAAAGTTGGTTTAAAAACAAATTAAAGGGAAGGAGGAACAACCAATTTAAAATTTATAAAATAAAAATAATTTAGAACTATAAAATAATAGTTTAAATAGAAATAAAACATGTGTAATACGATTAGCGAAACAATAAATGAAGACATTAAACACAATAAGAAACTATAATAAGAATTGTATAACATATGATCCAGTTTTATTAAGTTGATTTAAACTTTTATCCAAACGAGATGACATGGCATCACTGGAAATACATTGCAATGTTAATCTTCAGTGGATATTCCAAGGTCTAAGAAAGTGATCGTCTTCGTCTGGTTCCTGACCACACATCATCCTTCGTCCAGTCACTCGAGGTAATGTCAAGGTCAGATACTAACTATGGTTTATCTATAAAACTCAGTATCATTTTACACTGTCAAAATCAAACCCGATCTAAATCCATGTCTTTCAAGGTGTTCAGCTAAACCGTCTTAGTCATGCGTCAGACCCTTGAACTTTGTAATTTTACTGATAATTATTATATATGTGAAGATGGGTCTTCGTTAGTATTCCGGTAGGAGCGTGGCTAAATAATGTGGTTGGCTACGACCCAACAAACGCCCAAGAGACAAATTTGGTAAGGTACATAAAGTACAAAAACGTGTTGAGTGTTTTCGGTTTTATCATTTGTCCGGTGATTGAGCCATCGAATGGGAACGCTGCATGTTCAAATGAGGGCCTGACCTATTGCTAAACTCGCAATTGCTGTGAATAACAATGTAATCGAATGTTTGTTAGTCAACAATCAATTTAGTTACCATTTTATTGTTGTAGGACGGAAATGTATTTAAATGTAGCTCTGTTGAACTGTGTAGTATGAAGAAATTGCGAAATCTTTTTTAATACTCTTTGTCTTTTACCTCTAATTTTTTAGCGATATTGATTTTGAGTTCGTTTTTATTAAGTAGTTATCATAATTGGGATTTGTGGTTAGTTCTTTACACTGCAGTAAATAAGAAACAATCTTTATAAATAACTCCAAAATTCGTTATAATTTCATGTGTACTTACGTATTATTATAACCACACCTAATAATTAAAATAATTATAACTCAAGCTAACCCAACCTAAGGGTGGTTAGGTTAGGTTAGGTTGGGTTACATAAGAAAGATATTTTTATTTAAACTAATTAAAATCTTGTTTGGAAGTCGACTTTTCGGTGTGGTTGGTATAATACGTAAGTACCTTAGAGGTACCGGTATTGTTAGAAATTCGTTTGTGAGTAATTTTGTAAAAGTTGATTTAAATGATAGGAATTAAAACTTTACCACCTCAACAGGATCCGGGCTTATTAATGTTTGCTGCGTAATACATTTCACTATTGTCTTCAAACGGATACAATATGTTTTGATTCAATTTTAATGTCTGGTTGTTTCGTGGGTGTTTTAAATACTTACTTAACATACGTATTTAGTTTGGACATATTAAATTTTTTTTCGTTTTTATGCTATAATTCTAGCTAAAAATCTCTAGTTTACAAATACACCGATTGAACTAGTTTTACTTGTTCTTTGTGGTGAGTCTAGCAGCTGAAACTAGGATTTTAAATATAGATATAAATAAAACTTTTTTTACCCAGCAAAGAAAATGTTGAGTTCAATTTTAGGTGCTACCGACGGAGGGTTAAATGAGGTGCTGGTAGCTATTCATTGATTAAATCTACGAATACAAACCAGAGTCCGCTTAACGGTTCGTATTTCTAGGACAAAATATAGTACGTTGAAAATATATTAAAAGTATAAACATACACACTCAGCTATAAAGGGTACAACTTTGGCTCCCTAACTGTAGTGAATGGAGTTCACTCGTAACCAGATCGTAAAAAATTTACGATTGTTTTAACGATAAACAGTGCGTGACCGTTACTACTGGTCGTCAGCAAGTATCAAAGCAGTGGTGTTAAATGTTATTATGCTTTCTGGGAGTTTTTAATCACCTGCACCACCAATGGAGTGGTTTAAGCAGTTGTTTAATGAAAGGATTGTTTTGAAAGCCATCGCTGACCGCAACTGACAATGAGCTTCTTGACCTTTGGTAACTGTCAAGGTCATAACTTGACCTTGAGGTCAGACGGGAAGACACTGGATAAATGTTATCATTACGTGTACACGTTGAATGTGAATGTAAAATGATCCATCATCGTAATTGTTTTGAAATTACCTTTGTCATGAAAAACAACACAGTTCTTAGTTTAGTATTTTTGGAACGGTGCAATAATAATTTTTAATATTGATGTTGAGAAAAAATGCATGCAAACTTTAAGTATTTATGTTAAAGGCTTCCCCTGAAATTAATGAAGGTCAACGTAACTTGATTTAAAACTTGACTAAGACCCTTAGCAAATTTCCCATATAGGGAATAAGCTGTAGTAGGTCTCATGTTATGAGCTATACATGAAACCACTTTACTTTTTTTAAGTCCCCAGAAGTAAAACCAGTTTTCCGTTCAAATTCATTTAATAATATCTATAATATTTAATACGCTACATGTTTTTTTGTGTATCCACTAACTTGAGAGAACGACCGGTCGTAGAAACTTGGTAAAGGTGTTTATAGAAAGGTCTTGGTCTATAGATGAGACATCAATAGAGAAACAAAACAGAAACGCACGTGAATTTGTTTGTAGATTCTAATCGTGGCGACGACCAACGTGCGCATTTATCGCTTATGCTCAATTCCTCTTACGTTTTTAAAACTAGGTCCAAATATAAGGCAAATGATTGAAGGTAGATATGATTATTAATTTGTTACGTTGGAACTTATTAACGTTAGTCTGTTAATTGAAATTTTTTGCTGGAAATCAAAGCTGGCTTTGTCATATGTATCTCTTGATTATATTTCACTTTGTATTACTTGTATGTACGACCCAGTCCTTACTCCATATCTTATCTTCGTGTTGGATCGTTTCCAACCTCCACTGCCTAAATTATTCTTACCACCTCCTACCTAGGAGCTCGATACATAACCTTCATACATAACCTTTATTTATAAATGTTTCTGTATTTTCTTGCAAAGTATTACCTAGTGCAATTAGTTCTTCTAGGGTTTCAATGAAGGCTTTTTGGAATACATGAGAGTAATTAATGTGGGGTTCATGGACACAAACAGCAAACAGTTATAAGGGAATGGGAATTATAAGTAATGTTTTGCCAATTTCTCTTTGACTATCTCGCTGTTTCCCTAGTTAATATTTCTACAATTTCTTACATGGCATAATCCTCACTTACTGCTGTTGCTGCATTGACATGTCGTAAGAAGGGACTAAAGTGTGGAGTTTAACTCTATAATACATGTAGAATCTAATTTATGTTAGTTACAATTTAATAATGGATCTTAGTTGATTATTTATGACACCGAGGTATCTTTGTATGCCTTATGCATCTAAATTTGCAGCCATGTATAGATATAACCAGTATGTTATAAATTAATTTATAGATACATGTTTTGAAACGATTTTCACATAAAAACTGGTTACTTTTATCTACAGCTAACTAATAAATTGTAATAACCAACGTCAAAATAGCGGTATACTTAAAGCATCTTAACACGTGGTATGACTGCTAATAAGGATACTGGCGTAACTAGGTGCATCTTGTCACGGTTGTTAGTAACCGTTACCTTGAAATAACACGTTGTACCGGTTAGTCACAGGTATAACCCAGTCAACAGGATCATTATCAACTAGTATCTACCTTTTGATGAAATTGCCAAATATTTTGATTGTTTGACCTCTTAATGATATGAACCTAACACTTGGGTAATATCTTGTATACTATCTACTTTTCCACCACCAGATTGTGCTGAATATTTTAAGTCAAATATTTAAGCCTTTGTTATATTACCGTTTGAAAAATGATACATTTTGTACATCAATAGCAATAGTTTGATAAAAAATCGTATTGAAACCCAATAACAGTCGATATTTGTTTATAGTGTAGTAGTATTTAAGTTATTAGTTTTGCCTTAACAAATAATTTAAATTTAAACAATAACTTTATTGCACGATTTGATCAACATTGTCACGTTATCAGTATCTGTAGTTTTAATAATTTTGGAATATAAAACGTAGAATGTAATAAATGGTAGTCAGAATCTATCTTTTTGAAGTCAATTTATATCAGATTAAAAGTTACATCAGATTAAGTCTAAGAAGAGTTATTTTTTATTTTATTATTATTTACAGTAAACTAATCTTTCGATTTCAAACCAACTTGGTTCTTATTCATGAACTGATGTATGGTAAAGCATCGTATGACCGTCACCTATATATACCCTCCACATCACTATGGGTTTTAGTCAAGTGTATGAATTGTCATATAAATAAAAAAAAACTTGTTTTGAAGTCATACAAACAAATGTTGATCTTGCATTCAAATTATTTACCTCAAATACATTGATGTTGTGTAATTATTAGCCTTTTACAACGTTTGATATTTAACTTGTCATTCAGCGAACAAACAATTTAAATATGTTAAACATGATGCAAAATTACACTTGGGAACATCTTATGAAAAGAAACACAGACAGTTTTAAGGAAAGGGTGTATTTGATAATTAGTATTTACAATAAGAATGAAAAGAATATTGCACGTATTTGAGAGTCATCTGTTGACTTTTGTTCAACGCCGTCCTATCCTAGGACCCTGGTAGGCCAGGGACTTCGCGATGGCCTCAGGTACAGGGGGTGCCACGGGGAGGTGGGCTCCCTCAGCATGGAACCCAGTCTCATCCGCGTACCACCGGGTGACCACTGGGGTGCCGTCAGGGGCGATGTAAGAGTACTGGCCCTGGAACAGCAAATCTTATATTATTACAAAATAAAAAAAACGAACACTTAATGTGAAATGGGAAGGGGTGAATCAAATGTTTATGTAATACTGTGGTTATCATTGTGTGCTATATAGAGAAGATGTTATCGTTGTTGTTTGGGACGTTGCTGCAGCAAATAAGATTTTCGGATTGACAATCTACTGCGTACATAACTAATCGTCAAGTATTTCTGTGTTAACTTATGTTTGAAAATTTCATCTCCATCTCTACTTTCTCAAAATCTTTGTTCTCTATCTCTAATGAGTTTTAAATCTACCAATTCATAGGAATAACACATATTTATTTATTTTTAGAAAATTAATATACTGAATCAATTAGAAACATATTTTAATTGCAAAATGTATTAATGTGAATATATCTTCTATGTAAAATATGGTATAACATACTAATAATTGTCATATTCATCCCACTTAAGGTTAGACCTCAGGCCGCTTAAACAACCAATTTATTCATTTGTCAATCAAATTTGACAAATTCTCTGGCTGGTTGTAAGATACTGTGTGAATTGTTAAACTTGTTTTAAAATGTAACTGCTTTGTAGTATGTAATCAAAATTATAAGTGGCACATTCTAGGTTCACTAATAAGTGAATACATTTTATTTTATTTACAGACTTTCAAACATGCAATTTTAATTACTAATCACAACCTAGTTAAGAATTAAAAAAAACACGTTTTTATTACAGTGTGGTGAGAAATATAAAATAAATGAGTAAAAATAAAGAACCTGCAGTTAAATAGCCTTAAGTCTACAAAAAATGGTTTATCAGTGTGTAGCTTCAATGGCAACATTACCTCCTTAGTCATACAGTTGTATGTTTGTGTTTGTTGGATACATACTACCAAGTAATCAGATAAATACTTATAGCTATGTGATTAAAATAAGCTTATTTTCCCAATAACGCACCTGCATGACTTGAGCCTGCTCCTTGGGGCTGATCTGTTTCACGTATCCGTTGGCTGAAGAAGCGATACCATTCTCTGACTCAAAACTGTAACATCGTGTCCCAAATTTAGTGGAGAACGTCATAAATAATAACCAAATAAGAAACATATCAGTTTATGAATAATCTAGATTGAATGTATTCAAAATAACCAAAAAATAGGCACCCAAACTATTCAAAAGTAATTAAATTAACAACGGATTTACTTAAATATTTGATGTGAAATGGATTGTTGATTGAAATGGTTTGACTTTTAAAAGTTTTCGTTTTTTATAATTGCTACTTTTATAAATTTTCTACTTTTATAAATTGTCAATAACATAAAGGTTTCTGTTAATTCATTTGATTTTCCTTTAAATAGTATTAATTTGTGTGATTAGTGGCGGTTGTTCTCCAATATAAGGTACTTCTACTTCCATATATATACATTCTTCAATTGGTAAATGTATACCATTGTGGGCTTTAAAACTGGTTATGGCACCATACATTAACTAATGTGCATAGTTAGCTAAATCCATTACTAATCGGCGGTAGCACGGGCCACCAAGAGAAAACTAGCCTACCCGCGTAAATTGATTACAATCTGTTATTTAATCGTTTATAGACAGCCATGACGGTTGGTTAAAAAAGTGATGGCAGACTTTTATGAAAAATAGACAATCCTGAAACCGTATTTATTAGTAATATTTATATCAACCTGCAAATAAACTAATCATTATCAAACGCTAGTGCGTTTTTAAAAAATAACTTAACGTTTCTCGTAAACATATCTTTAGTGGTTGAACACGTTGTTAAAATCCTTTTCAGGGCACTTCGATTTATATTCTCGAAATAAATCAAATATTTGGCCAAAGAGTATTATCTGTTATGTAACTAAGACGAATCGTTAAAATAAACCACTTGTTTATATTAGTTTTAAAATTGTCTATAACATTTTTAATAACCTATTAGTTAAACATTACAAGCTTAGGTATTAGATTAGATATTATATACTAATTTTAGTAGCTTATATACTTGAATACTTGTTATCTTCCGATTTTTCTTGGATTGATTTCGTCATGAAACTAAATGTAGGTTATTTTAAACAGTTTAGTACACACCTATAGATTCATTTTCTAAATGCAACTGTTATGTAGATAACGATTATTTGGTAGTTTAAAGGAACGGAAGGTACTTACTCGTAGTTGAAGGTTCCATCGAAGTTGTTATCCTGGCTTTGCTTCAAGATGAGGATAGGCTTGACGTAGGTGACAGGCTTGGGGTTGAAACCATACTGAGGGGCTGCTGATGTCAGAGACGCCGTGGCGACAGCCAAAACCAATAGTCCCTTTAATCAATGTATACATTAAATATAGTGTTTTTAACGAGGCCAGTTTAGATTCATTTGTAAATGTATATAAAATTACTGATCTGTCTAAATCGATAAATATCATGATGAAGATGATTATAATGATGATATATAAAATGGCGAATTTGATTACTTTGTGTCAAACAATAATGAAGGTTTGTTCTAAATATTTATCATAGGCATTTCACTGTGGAAATATTATATTTAGCTGACACATTAGCAGTATATGGGAATATTTTCATTGTCTGTAAGATTAACAATTACTCGACAACATGATTACAGACAAGGCACATCATTTAGCATATACATCTGAAAATAACAGGTGATGATTTGAACTTCAAACTATTATAAACGCAAAGGTTGGCATGTTTTAAATTTTCGAAACACAGCGCAACGAAGTGAAAACTGTATCCCCTTAGAACCTCTCTTTTCAAAGTCAGGCAGAAATGGTTTGCAAACTCATTAGATTTTGTGTTGGTTAGTACGATCCAAAATCAGAGAATATTAATTTGAAATATTGTACCTATAAAATACAAACGTTTTACTGTGAAGGAATAAAGAATTTGCATTTATGCTTTAAGGTGGCAAAGAGATCTAGTCCCGTGCCTCGTTTATAGTACAACATTAGCTATTACCTATTAGAGAAGTTATGTTAATATACATTTTCTTAATATACTCTGTGGTGTTATCAGTTAAGTTATAAAAAGCCAAGCTTAAAAAATTATCATTTCTAGTTGATATTTAATTAAGTTTTAAACTATCTTAATTTAATGAATACATTTAAAATATACCTTGATAGTCTAGTGGAAGTATCAATTTAATTGTGTTAATTTAACTTGATTCTAGACGATATTGCCAGTAATACTACACTAGATTTTTATTAATGTAGAATACATTTCCTCAACACGTATAGCTAAAATTGTCACATTGGTTATAGTAAAGATGTATTCACCTATCGATATAAAAGTGATATTACCTATCGTCCTATGTTGCAATAGTATAGAAGAATTGTAATTATGAAAATCGAATTAAATATTCTTCCTATAAAAGTTTATTAGGAAACGGACTATTCTGAAACAGTAGTTGACACATCTGATTTAAAGGGGTATCTAGGAATGTCCCAAAACTCTTTAGAGGAGCAAAGAGCCTATTGATTGACACAAACATGATGAAATTTAGTAACATATTATTCTGACAATACTGATACAGTATCCACAACCAATAATTGGGAAACGACACTTACCAAAGAGTACATGGCAGAGTGCAGATCAATACAGATATTCGGTAAGGAAGGATCAAGTATTTATAAGTATTAGGGGGGAGGAGTGCTTCATCATTGGTCGGATCTACTTCTGCTTTGACGCCCTCTGAAACGACCTTCGACCGATATTAATAGCACCAGTCGCTGGACGGAGATGTTCGGAGATGCTTTTTTACTGGATTTTTGGCACCCACTCGAGCCTTGAGTCTTATATGCTACCCGTATAATTAAAGCTTTTTGCGATAGCCCCTCTTTCCCAATGTTGTCAAGATGCTATTTACCATCAGTAATTGACTTTCCGTAACAGGATTAGAGGGTTACCTTCCTCGATGGTTTAGGCCAGCAATGTTCTGTGATTGGAAACAGTACTGGTTTGTTAAAAACAAATTGATTCCAGGTAGGTTCAATGGGAATAATTACCTTAACAAAACCACCCTCTAACCTATCGCTATGTAGGAACAAACCCCTATAGTTGAAAGATATTGCTGCTATGGTTGTACTGGTTTGTTGGTTTGTCTTCTTTTGTGTGTGTATATTTCTTCGCAAGTTAATGTAAACTGTTTTTTTTTTTTTTAGTTAATCAACAATAAGTTTTGATTATATTATAGGTTATAAATAATTTGTTTCTTAGATCATTATACTTGTATTGTATTACTTGTGGAGAAATAAAGCTTTATTATTATTATTATTATAGGTTTGATCCTCGGCATATCCCGAAATACAATAATTAGCACACATAAAATATATGTGTTAAATACATATATAATACGTGTATTATATATGCAAATACCGTATAATACGTGCTAAATATTATACATGAAAATATATTAAGAATATATTTAAATATATTAAAGTTTCTCAAAATATAGTTAATATATAAAGTTGTACAAATATATAATTCCATTCTATATTCTTAATATAGTATAAATTAATATAAGTTGGCATTATGTATAAATTTTGTACTTTAGAAGATATATTAGAATGTATTTTAAATATAAATCGAATATAAGTTTATTATAAATTAATCGTATTTCTCATAATACATTTTGAATATATTTATTAAAATATATTTAAAGTGTATATTGTATGTTATATTTATAACATATCTTTGTAAATATATTTCATATAATATTTAAATGTATTTTAAATACAGTATAGTTCAACGTTTTACATTTATATTTTAAATGTATTTGTTCAATATATTAAAAATATATTTTTATATTTACATTTCTAATACAAAATAGATTTATATTATAAATATATTCCACATACTGCAGTGTTGTGCCGCCTATCGTAGGTGTGTAGGACTGCGTCCGTAGGTTATGTGTTGTGGACTTAACAGATATATGCGTATCTACAGGATTTTTGCTGAAGAAAGAAGAAAGAGTATGCATGAAATTGTCTAGTGTTTAAATGTGTGTGTGATTATTAGGGTAGTTAACAAAAATTAGCGCTAATTTGGACCTAACCTTAAAAAATGAGTGTTAGTCATTTAGGTTACGGCCTAGTTGCACGATTCTAGTTTAAGGCAATATGCCTAATATGTGGATCTGTATATTATAAAAAATGATAATAATATTTTTAACAGGAAATATACATACATTTTAGGTAACAACCTCTACGGTAGGAAAGAATCTAGCTTGCGATTCATATAATCAATCCGTTGACACACCAATAAGCGTCCGGCATTTTAAACGATACAATGATACGGCGTGTTAAACATCTAAATCTAATATTTAACCTACATATAGGTTAAATATTCTAGGTCTATATATAGGTTATGTATTTTCTACAGTATCCATTTGAATATATTTTATTTCATGGCTGGATCCGGAACAAAATAGGTTAATTTTAAAACCTTACAAGATCGTAAAACTATGAAAAGGATATCTTTAGGGTAAACAAAAAGTAAACTTTAATTTTCCGAAATAAGTAATAAATTGAAAGATGGGCTAAAAAAAGTAACTAAAAAAAACTAAAAAAAGTACGTAGCCTATAGTCATAGTATGAATTCTGGAGGGGAAAAATGAGGGCAAATCAGGTAATATGACAAGTATTAAGAATTTCCACCCGATAGCAAAGTGTTTGTTCATGATATTATTTAAGTTTGAAGTTAGTCTTTACCGAGTAGTGCTAGTGAATGGTGTGATATTAACGGTTCAACACACACAAAATCCATGTAATAGCGTGCAGTATGAGAAGTTATTTGATTTTGACTACCAGAGTAATGGAAGTTCGTCGGATGGAGGTGAAAGAATAATTAACCCTTGCGTTCTCTTAACCTGGCCACTCAGTTAAATGGAAAAATTATTCACGGTAGAGCAAAAGCAAATGCACTAATTTGCGTTATAATGAAATATACAAATAATTTCACCTCGCCATTGTCACTATTTATGCTGAATAACTCTCTTAGTGTCTGATATTGGAATATTTCTCTCCTATCTGGTATCCTCCATGTATCATATCTATGATGTAAAGTACTTGAAGATTCTTTGTTAGATTACTTTGCTTGTCAATACTCCTATCAACCTGCGGTAAATGAATCTTACAGCTATCCTGATTTGATTGAATAGGCTCATGTTAAATCTTTCCATTAATACTGGAATTAATGAAAGATTACCTGTTATAGAGAACGATGAAGTCCTAAGAGTACCTATAATAGATCATATCTCAAAATACTGGGATGTGTTGGAGAATATGTTTTGCCTATAATATTTAGTTCGGTATGTGTAAAGTTATATGTATTGTACAGGATTATTTCTAATATAAACTTACTATATTTATCTATCTTTGTAACATATCCAATATCCATCCACCAAATTCTTACTTTTCCAAACTAGATTGTACTTGGATAAGTTTGCATATCGACATTCCCAGCAGCTCGTAAATATCCAAGTAATGAACCTGCAGTAATGCAGCAGATCAGATCAGCAGATGTCTCCTTGCAGTGGACCCGGACCGTGGAATGCTAATCAGTAGGATTCACAAAGAAGTCTCAACAGCCTTGAGACGGTATAACAACGTCCGGGTCGCTACGCCACAAATCACTAGATTGAGACATGTCTTGAGATTACCGCGGTAAAAAGTGAAATGGTCGAAGGAAAAAAGAGTCATAATACAGAAGCTGGGTTTTGATTATTTTTCATAAGCGCTCCCAACTTTGCTTGTGAGGGAAGGTTGAAAAGGTTATCTTAGTGCAGAAACGCACCAGAAAAAAGTATCAAATCCGAATAAAACTCATTTACTGCTTTTCTATCTATTGTTTTGATAGTATCCAATTTATTTTGATCATTGTCAGAATTTTTGTTTGGCATGAAAACTATCAAGTGTTTCGACTTGTCATATAATGAAACTACTGCAGTTAGAAGTGCCTCAAAGTCAACTATTGGTACCCTCAGCTCTTTGAAAAATTACCTGGAGTCAAGACTAGGTACTTGAGTACCAACAGTTCTGTTATAGGCACAGTCCAACGATAACAGCAAAAACCTATCCGTCACTTTGTGAAAAGTTACTTTGATTGTGTACTCAATTACATTAGTGATGTGTATAAACCAAAAACCTCTTAAAATTTTTAAGATGCTCAGTGAAACCTCTTAAACATTTGTTGCCAATTGATTCGTTTTTTTTTACTTATAATTTTCATTCTAAACTATTATACTAAATTTCTAAAACTTAACTAAAACTATACTTTATGAACTATGACTTCTATCGAAGTCAAATAACTGATTGTCGCACATTTACAATTTATGACAACGTCAAAAATACTGTATAACAAATTGCTTACGAATCAAATACATCAGTCCATTGATTTACAATTTTCAATTAATCCATTCAAAGAATATACACTAAGCTAAAAAAATGCATTTAAACTGTTTCTTAAGATCTACAGGTTTTGCAATTTTAAGGAGAGGTGGTAACATATTAATCCGTCTTATTTCTAGCTCAAAAGAACTAACATGTGAGATCTGAGAATTAAATTGGTTTATTATAAATTGATGGTTTTTCTCGTGTAATGACGATGAAATATTTTGTTTGTAGGAAAAAGTTTAAGTTTAACTTTACATACATAAAACTTTCAAGAACTAACATTGAAGTGGCAGTCAATGAGGGGGATGGCGAAGTTGTATTCAAGAAAGATTCTTTATGCGGGTTAAGAACCATATTTATGAAGATTATAATTCAAAATAACTGTAATTTTAGACTTATTGAACTGTTAATTAGAACAGTTTTGAGTAAATAAATCTCTGTTAGTATAGCCATTGGTATACTATACTATACTATACTATAATATACTATACTATACTGTGTATAATCAATGGTATAGCTCAGTTTTAACATGTGTGAATAACATGAATTGTAAGTCTAGCTGTAGTTGAATGGCCATTATTTGTTGACATAATATATGTTGCCCGGTCTTACGGATGAATTTAAATTTATTATTTAACTTCCGAACCTAACTTCTTTCCTAGATGCATACGCTATAAAAAAGTCAATTCTTGTAGCTACTAGGCAGTGGCGATTACTGTACCACAACAATATCAACTAATCAACTATCGCCACCCTCCCCTATCTCTACGGTTTATCAAACGGTCTTTGTGAAGAACCGTAGACACAACCTATAGTGCAGAAGATATTGAAACAATTTCCACAAAATATATTGGTTTTAAGCTACATCTTGTTGTTATCCATCTTACGAACTAAAAATGTGCAGTAATTTAATTATTCACTTACCTTTCCCAGAATTATTTCTACCGGTGATTTCACATAACTAAACACAAACCAAACCTACAACCCGAAACTGGAATATGTCGAAATCCGTTACCTCATATCTTTACTAGACGAATGTGCAATGCATAATAAAATGCAAATAGAATTACTTTATGATTGAACTCAACTTTCTTCTCAATTGCATGCAATGCTGCCAAAAACACAGCCTTGGTGCGTGGGACGGGATGTATATGCAATAAATTCAAAATGTCGCATCCTGACCTTTGGATAAGCTGTTTTGTAAACTAGATCTGGCGACTTGAACTTGATCTTGATGCACCCTCTATATAAGTCGCCCAACACTTACCGGCTACTTCACTCTTGTCTCCACTTCACCTGGGCAACATGAAGGGTTTGGTAAGTAATGAAGTGTGAAACTTGGATAAGGTATTAGTATATCGATCATTACCTCATATACTTACATTACATAGTATCAGGCTACATTCAATCGTTGTAATCAACCCATTGTAAGAACTACCCCCAAATATTACACTGGATAGAGCTTTAGATTGCAATTAATATCGTAAACATAAAAAAAATTAAATATATATTTTTTATCACAGTTTATTTTAAAACAAGCACTTCTTAATTTGTATTAACTCGTGGCTAAGTAGTACTGTATTTCAAAAATAATGTTTATACTTTTAATGACTAAATAGTACAACACCTATCGAGTAATGAATTTAAACTTCACCTAAGTACTAAATTAAAAATATAGTTTATCGATGTAATCTTATAAATCCAATTACAGTTAAATTAGTTGTATTGAATTGGGACACTTTTTCATGATATTAAAGATGTGAAACAAAACTTCATTTGATATTAGGCGACTCAAATACATATCACAGTAGGAACTTAGCATTATAGCAAATTTATCTAAGTAATAATGGTCTGGTACTCGGGCATTGAGATGTCCAACCTGTAAAGGTTGATTTTCATTTCAGTTACAGTTTCGTATTTCATTGATTAATTTAAAAAAAAATAACTATCCCCAGTTTATCGATACTTAATTTTGAAAAAAAGTGAAAGAAGGCGTAACTTTAAAGGTAATTGAACAAAAAACATATTTTCAAAAGTTGCCAAACAACCATTTGGTGTGCACTGACAAACCCAACGTAAAACACAATCATTAATATTTCGCTCGATAAGTTTTAGCTTTATTTTAAATGTATAAGTTATTCAAATGAGATTTAAAATATTGAATCCGTCTTCACACTAAATAATCCAAATCATTTTGAAGGTCTTATTATGATGGAAATTATAGTGCTAGATTTGTTTCTAAAGGTCAATGTTTCCATATTTAATCAAATGCCAGATACAAAAAAATAAGATTTTTTGAAGAAGTGTATATACGAGAAAGCGACTAGTTATATACGTTTTAAGCGAGATAAGTAATGAGAATAAATGCACCGTAAATAGTATAATTTTTAAAATTATTTTAATTTTGTAAATAAATTACTATTGAAAAACACAATGGCATCACAACAAACAAACAACAAACAAAATGATCTTATTCGTTTATGTCTTACCTTTCTTCTTTGAACATTAAACTAACCATTAAATTGAAGGGATCTAATCTCATCGTTAATGTAATAATAGGTTAATTAATTTTATTTTGAACAATAGGACAGTTATTTTACAAATATATTAAATTCGTCCAGAAAACCCGTGACAGAAAGTTATGCAAAATTATTCAATTACCGTTAAATAAGTGTTTTAAATTATGAATTTAATTGTAAATATAATAACTTTATTTCAGGTTGTGTTTGTAGCACTGACAGTCTCAGCATTTGCAGCTCCTCAGGTGGTACCCTTGGCACCAGCTTACCAGTCTTACCAACCTATAACCTACAAATCACAATACGCTCCTGCAAAGATCGCCTTTGCCGCCCCTGCTACTTACCAAGCCGTCGCTCCTGCTTATAAGGTAAATATATACTGTATATTCAGGGAAGTGTAACGAATCATTTACAGTAACTAGGAGCAACAAAGATATCAAGAAAAATTTTTAATTATTGTATGGACATTTTTACACTTTCCCCCAAACTGACCAAATTGACTGAATAAATGTTTACAAGAGTGCATTTTTGAATAAAATCTACCTTTCTGTTGATTTGTTTTACTAATTGGTTTTGAACGGCGATGATATTTGTGGGTATTTATGGCACATCCAATGAAATCTAATGTTGATCAAACCTTGCATCCATTATATATTTACTTAAAATCCAAAAAAGTCTTGTAAACAGTATGTTGACTCATACATTTTGTAAACTAAAAAATTTAATATCTATCAAAACATAGAGATATATATTCCATAAATACAAACGTATATTGCATATAATCAAAACAATGTTTATATAAAAAAAAATTATTTTGCTATTTTACTGCATTATGTAAATGTGCTATATATGGTTGTGGGCAATAATAATCGAGATCAACATGCTAAAGGTGTACAAAAATTAACACGGGAAGTTGAAACATTTTTGAACATTATTAGATAATTGGACATTAACTACAGTGTATGTCTCACAACTGAGATCAAAATTAATTAGATATATTGAAATACACAATTTAATGAATTGAATCAGTATGTACATATTCTTTCCAGACTTATGCTGCTCCTATTGCTACCGTACCTGCCTACAAACCAGTGGCTTATTCCGCCCCTGCCTTCAAACCCATAACATATTCCGCCCCTGCCTTCAAACCCATAACATACTCCGCGCCTGCCTACAAGCCCGCAGCTTACTCTGCGCCTGCCTACAAGCCTGCAGCTTACCCCGCGCCTGCCTACAAACCCGTAGCCTTTTCCGCGCCTGCCTACCAGTACACACCCCAGCCTGCCTATGTAGCCCAGCCCCAGTACACTGCAGCTTCCGGTTATGTCAAGCCTGTGGCAATCTTACGTCAATCTCAAGATGATAACTTTGATGGTTCCTTCTCGTATGAGTAAGTGTTTTTTTTTTATGTCTCACACATACAGGAATGTTTAACGTGTTATAGGCGTGTGTTCAGAATAATTGTATCAAAACTCGAACGTTTTGTGAGTTTGAAACCGTAACTGTTTTTAGTAAGTGAATTATTTTACTATCAACTACTTTAGTTAATCTGATAACTATGATATAAAATTACAATCGATAGTCTATGATAATGTGATTTATAAAATACTGTACCAGTCAAATAAAAAATACTAAATGCCAATTTTAAGACATTGAAATTCCAATTTTCTTTATTTAAGTATGGTTTTAAAATATTTCTTCATATTCAACATTAGAAATTAATAGGAATCCCAAAAACAGTATTCCAAACTAGTAAAATTGGATTTTGCTATTCACATTTTAATGAATGGACACTATTAATTTACTTTGTGTTTCTTTTTTCCAGTTTCGAAGCTGAAAACGGAATTGCATCATCTGCAAGTGGTTACGTGAAAAACGCAGGATCCGAGGATGAAGCCCAGGTATACTTCATAAATTTAATTCATAATTGTATATATTTTTTTTACGTGTGTAAGGTTATTTTTAACTATTTCATCTCTTACATTATTATAAGACATTGCACCATTATCAACACACAGTTTATCAATATCGGGCTGTGTATAGGTTACTACATATGACTCCTTAACTCCATTAACCTCCTTTAACTCCTGTTAAAGATATTCATAAACAAGTGTGTTGGGGTGTGTTGTTAGCCTATGGTAAGCGTATAGGACTTCGATGCGGGAGAGACGAGTTCAATTCCTCAAACGTCCCTTAAAAGAATTTGAATTGAATTAATTCAAAAAACGCCACTGTCGTAGACAACAGCAAAAGAAAAAGAAAATAAATAAAAGTGTGTTCATTTGCTCCGGTTATTGATATGTTATACTATCATTCCTCATATATTTTATCACTCCTGCAGGTAATCCAAGGCCAGTATTCCTACACTGCCCCCGATGGAACTCCCGTGGTCACCCGCTGGTTCGCGGACGAGACAGGGTTCCACGCTGAGGGTGCTCACATCCCAACCCCTGGGGCGGAGCCCTACAGAACTGCTTAAACGTAAACGCTTAAAGTATTAGATATTTCCTTAATAAATATGATTGTACATATGAATCTTATTTTTCTTTCCATTCCTTTCTATTAAGAGTTCGCACAGAATTTTAATTTTCTATACAACATTTTTGGTTGGGTAGATCTTCTGGATTTGGTTGGTTATTATTATGAAAATTATGCATAATTTACAACTGTACTATGTAACAATACGAGCTATATAGCATAAAAACCTAGGATTAATTTAATGATTTATTATTACTTCAACAATCATAGTTACTTTAATATGGCGATTATGTAGAAGCGGGTTTTAATCTAAATATGAAAAAGCTTGAGTGGAAGATCGATATTTTCTACAAAGCTACTGATGCCAACCACGCCTACTAACTAATAAATCTAATGATATTTTTTATTTATTATTTTATAAGTTTCGTCTGGAGACTGATTCGTTTCGTCTTAACAAACGAAAAAATTATCGGTTTTTTAACTTATAAAAATAACTGTGTGTTTTTTTTTAAGAAGTAACATTATTTTTGTATGCTCCCATATTGAAAATTCCATAAAAATAAAAATATTACATTTGAAACGTTAGTGTGGTCTTAACAGAGTTTTACTTCACAATGTGTAGCAAATTACACACACTTACTACTGTAAACATTTTCTAAATTTCTTCTTTCTTCTACAATAAAAATTTTGTCAATTACAGTAAAGTACATAATTGGTTGATTCAGATCTAGTTTCCATTGAATTCCACGAACTATACTTCGTTTAAAATATTTAGATAGTTTGAGGAGAACTTTTCCCACACTTTTTTTGTATTATTTAATCTATGTTGCTCAATCAGCAGTTGAGCCATTATTTTAAAGGTAAGGGTCAAGAGAGGGGATAGGCTTTTTTCCCTCAAACCACCAAAATATTGTGAACGGAATATAGTAATTCATTGTATGGTTTGTGAGGTTATATTATTAATATATAGCTGAGTAACAGTTTAGACTTTTGATGTCATCAAACTCCTGCAGGTTTAATTATTTACGTTTCACCAATACAACTAATTTATCTGAACAAAGGAGAAATAAATCCAAGTCTTGCAAAATAATCAGTTTATTCACAAAAGTAGGTATTTAAAATGCCACAACTTCAGGCCATAGTCCTTATAACGCCACTTGTTAGTGCTGAGTCTTAGCGATGCCCTTAGGTACTGGTGGTGGACCTGGGAGGTGATCTCCCTCGGCGTGGAACCCAGTCTCGTCCGCGAACCACCGGGTGACCACTGGGGTGCCATCAGGGGCCGTGTAGGAGTACTGACCCTGCATGACCTGGGCCAACTGCTGAGGGCTCACCTGCTTGACGTGGCCAGCTGCTGAAGACGCGATGCCGTTCTCCGTCTGATATCTTCAACAACCAAATTGATTTGAAATTGTAACGAACACCACAAAATTTAGATTAAATAAACTATTTTCAATTTACAATAGATACAAATTTGCGTTGGGTAGAAATACCCTCCTTACATGTTTATATTTCAATAAAATTGCTATAAATATGATAATTAATTTTTTAAGCCAACAAATGTATTATTTATAGTTATTTTTGTAATGTTTTTTCCTATTATGTATTTAAATTGAAAAAAAAAGAAATTAGCAAACAACCTACTTATTATTTATATAACATATGTAACAAACTTGGCCAAACAGCATTACATAAAGACCTGATAAAAATAATAAATAATTTAATACTTGCATGTAGGATAAACCTTTGGGTAAATTAAAGTAATTGTTTAATTCCGCATACCATCCATACATATCTAAAATGTTGTGTAAAATTGTATAATGATGAAAGTTCTTGATTGCATACCCTTTTGATTTAGAATCAGTACTTTTTCGGTTGGTGGTTAGTAATTGTTTTAAGCATGCGAGGTCGTTTTCGTTAATAATGACGCAAACACAATTAGGACGATTATTTATCAGTCAAACGTTCCCCCCCCCATCCCCATACAATTTGCGTGTAAGTTAAATATCAAAATTATGGAAACCCCCCAAACTCGAGTCTTATCAGACTAAAAAGCTCATAAAATATTATATTATGTAATTTGAAAGCACTTTATCTCTTTTAAATAAGTATTATCATTTTTTGTGGAATAATTATGTTACTTACTCATAGCTGAAGTTCCCGTCAAAATCATCGTCTTGACTTTGAGTAACAATGGCCACTGGTTTGACGAATGCATTACGATTTTGGTTTAAGACTGTAGGCTGGTACTCTACTACAGGTTCTTGATATTGAACAGAAGAATACTGAGAAGTCTTCACGGGCACAATCGAGGCAGATTTATACACTATAGGGTAGGTTTTGGCTGCAAGTGAGGAAGTTTGAGAATTTGCCGAGCCATGGGATGCTAAGAAACTCGAAGCTGGGCTAGTTTTAGGTGAATAACTTTGAGAAGAGTGGCTAGGTGATGAGTAGCTCTGAGATGTGTAGGTCTCTGTTGCATAGCTCGGTGCTGCATGGCTTTTAGATGAAGGTGCTAGATAGCTTGGACCAGAGTATGGCTTACCCGGTTGGCTAAGTGCTGAATAACTCTGAGAAGCATAGTTCTTTGCTCCATACCCTGGTATTACATTACCCTGAGTTGTATGCGCATTTCCTAAATATCTTGGTACTGAATTGCTTTGAGTAGGGATGCTTGCTAATGAAGATCTGTGTGATGAGGAGATAGGAGCGGCATAACTAGGACTTGAGTATGTCTTGGCTGATAGTTTAGGTGATGAATAACTCTGAGAAGCATAGTTATTTGCTGCATAACCTGGTATTACATTACCCTGAGATGTATGCGCATTTCCTGAATATCTTGGTACTGAATTGCTTTGAGTAGAGACGCTTGATAATGAAGAACTGTGTGATGAGGAGATAGGAGCGGTATAACTAGGACTTGAGTATGTCTTGGCTGAGAGTTTAGGTGCTGAATAACTCTGAGAAGCATAGTTATTTGCTGCATAACCTGGTATTACATTACCCTGAGATGTATGCGCATTTCCTGAATATCTTGGTACGGAATTGCTTTGAGTAGAGACGCTTGATAATGAAGAACTGTGTGATGAGGATATAGGAGCTGTAAATCTAGTACTAGAGTATGTCTTGGCTGAGACGCTAGGCGCCGAATAGCTCTGAGGTGGAAGACTGGGTATAGTATAGCTGAGTGATGGGATGGTAGATACCGAATCGTTTGGAGCAGTTTTAGATAATAAGCTGGATTGTGAGTAACCATGGTTAACGTTATTGCTTGGTGCTGAATTACTTTGAGTTGAGTGTATAGGTGCTGAGTAACTTGACGCGAAGTACGTATTTGGTGAGTAGCTTTGCTCTGAATAACTATGATACGAAGGACTTGGTGGTGAATAGCTCTGAACTCCTAGACTATGTGCTGAGTACTGTGGAGCGGGTGTGACTGTGTATATTTGAGGGGCTGGTGCTATGGTGGCCGTGTAGATTTGTGGTGGACCCGGGTAGATTGCAGGGTAAGAGGCAGGCGCTGAGTAGATTTCAGAAAGGGGAGGAGCTGGGCTAGATTGAGCCGAGTAGATTTGCACAGGAAGTGCATAGGCTAGGGTGTGTTGTGGATCATTTTGCACCGGAAAGGTGGATTCTGGTTGGTGGAACTCATTGTGGTGCGCCAAAACACATCCGAGCGAGAGAAGAAGCACAGTCTGTAAAAAAGTCATACTTACAGTAATTCACAATTTATTACTAATTTACATCTGATAATAGATTCAGTGGTGATAAATTTTGAAAAATTTCAAAGTTTCAAAGCTTATTTGAATTATCTAATTTTATATTTCATGAACGATGAGATGGATGATTTCAGAGATTTAAATCATGTCTAAACATCCAAGACATAAATTGCAATCAAGCCAACATGGTTACATATGTTTCGGACATTTTTAAAAGAGACTAATAATTTATCCTAGTTGAAAGTGGTGTTAAGATACAGTGATTCTTCTGCTGATTTTATTGTTTTATCCTATTGATGATGAAGATGAAGTTCTAAATTATTCAACTATACCAATAGAAAAACACATAAATCCTGCTACTTAATTAATATTACAAATAAATTATATTATTTAAAAAATATATATATTATTTTTAGTTAAAGGATTCACAAAAATATATGTTAATTACTAAATTGATGGCTTTGTTCCTTAATAGTCGCTTGGTTGCTTAATAATGGCTTGATTCATAATAATTTATAAATAAAAACTTTTTTAAAACAAAACGTTTTTAAATGCACTAAAAAGTAGGAAATAATTTATTAATATGTGGAGAGTATAAATACTTGTAAAATTTAAAACGAAAAACGTGGGGTGCATGCAATAGATAATTTACAATTACCTTCACCTATTGAACTAAAATATTATTATCAATTGCATGCACCCCACGTTTTTCGTTTTAAATCTTACAAGTATTTAAACTCTCCACATATATTTAAATTATTTTCTACATTTTAGTGCATTTCAAAACGATTTGTTTTAAAAAAGTTTTTATTTATAAATTATTTTCTACTTTTCAGTTTTTAATGTGTGTGGATGTTAAATCTATTTCATGCATCTATATCAGATTGACTGAGGCATGTGGGAAATCTAAGGTTTATTTGAGTTTATTTTTATATAATTATGTATTAGATTGAATGTATGGCCTAACTATAAATATATCAATCTATTTAATTTATTGTTTACTTTATAGAATACTAAATAAATAACAAATGACATTATTAACAAACACCTTTATATCTGCAATCAGATTGTTTATCTTTATTTTGAAATGTTTGTTTGTATAAAGAATCTCTTGGGAGTAGAACCTGTACCTCTTAACCTCTGTTTTTTGAACTGTCAAATTTCAGCTCTTTATGTCAACCAGCTGACTTTAATTAATTGATATATTTACATTCTTTCAAAATGTAAACATGGCAAATTTGGAAGCCAATGGAAATATGAAAATTAAATGCTGTAATATTGCATTGTCATCCACTTGTTAGCTATGTTTCAAATTTCAAGTCTCTAGCTAATCGGGAACTTCGTTTGAAATAGATATCAAAACTTCTAGAAAAGTGAGCTAATAAAAACAAGCCCATGGGGCATAGCCCAAGGGAAATATGTAAATTAAATGATATAATATAGCATTGTTATCTATTTGTGAGCTATGTTTCAAGTTTCAAGTCTCTAGCTCATCGGGAAGTATCAAAATTTTCAAGAAAGCGAGTTAATAAAAACAAGCCCGTGGGGTGTAGCCCAAGGGAAATATGAAAATTAAATTATATAATATTGCATTTTCTTCCATTTGTGAGCTATGTTTCAATTTTAAAGTCTCTAGCTCATCGGAAAGTTAGTATAAAAATTGATTGCAAAATTTGTACCGAACAAGAAAGCGAGCTAATAAAAACGTTTTAAAATAAACTTAAAAATGTCGACGTAAGATAGGCCTAGTAAAAAGAACTGAGTTTGGTCCGTTCATAAAAAGAATTCAAAGGAATGAAAGATTAATATAAAACTAAATAATATAAAAAGTTATGATTAAACTTACCCAAGACACCATGATGTCTAGTAACAAGTTATCCTCAGTAGTCACCACAGAAGTGACTTGACTTATCAATCAACTGGTTATATACTCACTCATCTTGTCAAGAGTTTATCGTCATATCAATCCTCAATTCGGCAGATCTACTTTTTTCCCGGACACTTTTCCCGAAGGCCGCGTTCCTGAGGAAGTGTGATGATACCAGTTTCACTACAAATCTCAGTGCCAATGTCAAGATACTTAGTACTCTTTAAAACATAACTGTTTGGTAAAAACCATATTTAGAGAAATATCTTCTTAGTCTCGGAATGGGTACAATTAGAGTAATATAGATAGCAACCTTGATGTCACTCTTAGGAGTAGATCAAAGATATAATATCATGTTATAATGCAAGGTCTCAAACATGAAGGAAGTAGCTGTGGCACATAATTAAGGATGTGATTAAATGTCACTAGGAATTTTGTGTAAGATTTACAAGGCGATTATTGTTGTAGGTAAAAAAGCGAGGCTCATAAAGTGAAAGCGAAAAAAGTAATAAAATTTGTTTAAACTTTGTGATTCCTTGATTTTTAAATCTGTTTTACACTTTCACTACAAAGACCAACTATATAAAAATATATAAAAAAGTGTCATCAAAACTATGCTTAATACTAATATTATGTAATGAAATATTTAAACAACAATAATTATAGTAAATTAAAAGCTCAGGCTTTGTAAAATCTGTAATATCTTATGCTTTATTCAGACTATTTATGAATCTCTGCAGTGATAAAAATGTTTTCAATATTATGAACACCACTCTTTGATTACTTTTTAAACATATAGCGTAGAAACCCACTTTTCTATCTGAACTTTAAAAGTTTAATATTGTTTAACGAGAGGTGTACACATTAAATCGGTTTGTTCTTACATCCTTGTACATTTCTTATTTTGGTTTTCTTCTCTTTACCGTAAAAATAGCCTTATTACCTAGGTTCGGAAAGTAGGTAACCGGATGGAGAAGAAGTTAAGTTAAAGGTTCGGAATTACTGTAATTAGGTTGTTTTCTGTACATAACACCTGCCTGTTGTTTTAGACCTAATTTTATCATACCTCTGCAATAATTTAGCTAGTGAGCTCTTGATTTAGTTAGAAAGGATCTTACACAATTTAGTACCTTACAATTTCACGTCATTTTCAACTTCTCACTTTGCAAATTGGTTGAATTTCGAGTATTTTTTTATGTCAATAGCGGAAAAAATGAAATAAATATGTTTTTTATTTAAAAATCTCCACAAGAGGTGTTTTTTCATATGTCTCTGAAAAATAAAATTTTTATTCTGTACAAATTTGCACGCGTCAAGAATCAAATTTGTTACCACAGTACATCACTACGCATACCGAATAATATAAAACTAACCAAGCCCGGTGTCCAGTGTTGCCAAGTCTGTCTATGAATTGTGATTTATAGCTCACGTGTAACATCATAGTCCTACCAGTTATCCCTGAGCCAGTAGTGGCTATTTGTAATACAAATCTCATCTAGTAGACATAAAGCCTCCACCCGCTAGGATCCTCTTATCAATTATTCATATGTAAGAAGCATATCTTGCCTATTTGTCATTCTTCTAAATGTCATGCAAAATGTTGGATTTATGAAGAAGTTATACAACTTTACAACAAATAAAACGCATATAATATATACGCATACAAAATACAACAAATAAAAGTAACAGTTACCGAACAGTTAAAATCTATTGACCTGATGGTTGTATTCAGAATAACCACCTGTTACAATGATTTGTTACTGCGTGTAACTCAAGTTAGTTCCATAATAATTTAAGAGTCCTTGATAAATTACGGACTCTTATGTGCAACGAATACATAGAGAACGAATAGTAGTTTTGGCACAGTGTTTAATCGGTTAAGAATTTCTTTCCACCAACACTATTTAAGTGAAAAATAAATGCAAAGATAAGTTGTTCTTAACAGTTTTCTTTCGAAAAATTACTTTTATTGAAAGAAAATAACGAGGTAGTAAGTTATTGGACCAGTTCATCAGGGACCGATTTTCTGCACAATGGCCAAAGTAGTGTCGAGGGTTACTTCAGTGGTGCAATTATATATAATCAGTAATTTTATTTCTTGAACTTTACTGGTTAACTTCTTACTTTGCTTGATAATTTCCTCGCACATGTCTAAGTTCCATGGGGTTGCCAAAGCACAAAGTAAAACAGCCTTCCAGTCCTTTTGGAAGCAAAAAAAAATAACTTTATTTTCAATGATTCACAAAGACTATCCTGGAATGTGTAAAAAAGCTCCAGGCTAGAACCTAGTGTTCTTGGATGTGAAGTTGGTAGATAACAAGAGTTATAGTTGATTAAAAGATCAACCAACAGGTTTTGTAATTAAAGCTTACACGTTTATATGATATTGCACTTTTATTTATTCTACGTAGGAAACTGGTTATAAAACATACAGTATATCAGACTATTGAGATAGGGGCTCAATCTGAGCCGGTATTTTGTTCGGTAGGAGTTGTTCATTGGCGGGCGGCAGCAGCGGTTTGTTCTTCAGCAGTGGGAGGAAGACTGCGCTGGTACTCGATGGACTTAGCGATGGCTTCGGGCAGAGGGGGAGGCACTGGAAGGTGGTCACCCTGAAAAAATCGTGTTTTTTGAGTGGACCCTTTTGTGATGTGGAGTTATCCTTACGCGAAAAAGGATCTAAGGTGGGCAATTAAACAACTGTATTTTTTAAACCCAGGATTTGGAGGAGGGATATTCGAGCTCCATGCATACACCATTTAAATAACCAACCCCCAGTGATTAGTAAAAAAAAAAAATAATATACTTTAAAGTACCTTTAATCATTTGTAAATATTAGTTATCCTGGTTTTGTAGCTATTTGAGGGTGTAATTGCACCGTCATCAATGTGTGATCCGTTAACCCAATCTTTCCACATCATGAACCCTTTTAACAACAATGGCGCATAATGTGTGACAAATCCCCACAATTGTACTGAGTAAAGCCAAAGTTGTTTTTATTTGATAAATAACTCACTCCTATACATATCACATCAAAATAACCCCTTCTCTATTACCTTCCTTTATTTACATGTAACTACTATATCTGTAACATTCTTCTAAGTATTTCTTTAAAAAGTCAGTATAATATTTAGTTTATCCCTACCTGAACTTGGAAGCCGTTCTCATCAGCAATGTAGGTGGTGGTGATGGGAACACCCTCTGGGGAGTAGTAGGTGTAGCTTCCCTGAATCACCTGAATCTCATTTTCAGTTCCGGCGTTCTTCAGGTAACCAGAAGACTCAACTGCAATACCGTGGTCGGTCTCGTAGCTGCCAAATAAGATTTTAGTCGATTAGTTATGGCATAAATCTGTAATATTTTACCAAGAGTCTAGTTTAAAGAATGACTTTTAAAATGCAAAGTTAGTTTTGTTATGTAAAATCGCGTAGCCTATTTAGTCACGATAGCATAACTCCTTTACAATACAGATTCAGTGTACTATTTAAAAGAAAATTACCAATGTTTCTTTCAAGAAGTCCTTAAAGCAAATAAACTTATGTCCTAAGGTCACAAGTATAGAAATGTTTCCTTCTATTCAGTATGTAATATTGATTTCACCACTTAAAATTCAAATCAGAATGAAAAAATCTTGACAAAATAAGCTATAATTTCTCAAGCTCGTTCCAATAACTGAAATAATTACTTGTAAGTGAAAGATCCATCGAAGTTGTTGTCTTCAAATTGCTTCACGATGACATGGACTGGCTCTGCGTGAGGTGCGGAGTATTGGACAGCAGGGGCAGGAGCGCTAACTTTGACAACGGGGGCGGGTGCTGGGGCAGGGGCCGACACCTTGTACACAGCGGGGGCGGCTTGGGGCTTGTAGGACGTGACAGTCTTGTACACCTGGGGCTGCGGGGCTACAGCCACCTTGTAGGAGGGCTTGACTACAGTCTTCTTAACGGCAACCACGTTAGCTTGGGGCTGGGCGAACTGGGTGGAGTATGCGCCAGAGTAGTAGGTCTGAGGGGCTCCAGAGACGATGGTCTGCTAGAAATTTAAAATGCTTACTAGTTAAGCGTGGGGTTTTGGTTATGAACAAGTTATATACGTTCTGTAATTAAAATTATTCTATTGTTTTTCATTGAATATTAGTAATATTTATGAAAGGGAAATTGTTATTTGCGTCATGAAAGTGTTTATTTTATTTTTTAGTGTCTCCGACTGAGACAAATTGTTGGGAAGAACGCAATCGCAAGAACGCAAGAAAAAGTAATAATCGTATACATAATCTTATACAATATTTATGTATATGACTATTTACCCCCTCACACAAAAGGCAAAGACGCTAACCGTTACAAAAAGCACAACATACAAACTTACTTTATGAATGTGTGCAGTCTAAAATGGGCTACACACTACCAAAATGTAAGTTTACTGTTGTACTTTGTTTTGTTGTGTAAGTATTGTATTTCGTTTGCCTAACACTATATAGTTTGATTCAATCGATCAATCATACTATCCCATCTTATTTAATGTTCCAGAGAACATATAATTTAATTTCAAAAATCCTATGCCCCATTTTAGATTGTAATCTATGAAAAATTGTATCGTTTAGCAAAAAGCCACCATACGCAGCAGCATGATAAGCTATTCAATCCTTTGACATTGATCATATCAATAAGATTATTTTTACCTAACAGTTTAGTATTTTTGGGATTCATTCATTAATCTAAGTGACCTAAGGGTTCAGGAAGATTTCAAAAAACTAATATATATATTTTAGCATTAGAGGTCTGTGGCTTTAAGTAAGTTCCAAACCCCATAAAAGTGATTATGAGTTTTTTTTCTTTACAAATCAATTGGATTTCACATCCAAGGTAAAAATAAAATAACATCATGACATATTTTAGACTATAGGTCATCGTAAGCTAATCTCATCAGCAACGCCCTTTATCTTTACCAAATTTCCACATATAGAAAAAGTTTACTATACATTACCTGGGCTGGGGCACCAGCAATGTAAGCGATCTGCTGGCCTGGGACGTATTGTTGTTGCTGGTAGCCACCCTGCAGGTACACGATCTGGGCACCAGCCGGGATGCCCTGGGTGTACTGGGCACCAACTGGGGCAAACTTAGCACCGTACTGGGGAGCTTGGTACACGAACTGCTCCAGCTGACGTGCCTTGGGCTGCTTACGCTCGCTGGAGTCTACTTCGTTAGACTCGCCCTGAGGAGCTGCCAAGGCAGAGGTGGCGAGGAGGAAGACAAGACCCTGGAACATGTGAAACTAATGAAAAAGTGGAAACTCATCACAAAAACTAAAACTGTTATGTATTTTTACGCTTTGTTTGGGCTACATGCTTAAACCTGAGAAAAAAAGCTCCTTGATGGTTTTAAATTGAATCTAAATTCTTTTTATCATTCGATTTTAAATAAGTTGGACAATCGGACAGCTGGATGTAGTCAGTACACATTACGTATGACTATGCACGCAACTCATCCTTCATTCAAATTTATTTTTCGTGTGGCAGACAAGTTAAAATATAGGTGATAAAATACTACCATGAAAATGCTAATGATAAAGTGTGTCTTATCTTCATTGTATCTTCATGTTTATTTAACTTGATTGACATATTCCTAAGGTACACTATTATTAATTTTAAATTAGATTTAAAGTTGTATTTTTCATCCAAAAAAATATCTGAATTTTGTCATAGTGGCTAACTAAAAGATTCACAACAAAATCATGTTATGTTATTTTTCGTAGTTTATCCAAATACATGATTAACGTTGGCTTATAAGTCCATTGACTTCGTGAGATTTTCAAGTGTTTTACCTCAAAGTATACGACAGATATCCAAATATATAACTGCTAATATAACATTTAACAACAAAACACATAGTTCTGCTATTTTAGTTTTTCCAAAAACCAAATTAAATTTAGACATATGTGTACATTAAACTACAGGTATGTTTATACAAACACGGTTTACAGTATTTTAATGCCAGCGACAAAACATGTAGGATGTCAAACATTTTAAAATCTAGATTCCTTCCAAATATCATGATAAGATTATAATTTGTATATAAAGTCTCAAGGTAGGCCTATGAATCTTAAATCGCTTAAATAATACGTGGGCCACTCTAGTTCATTTTGATTGTGTCTATGCATTTATTAAACTTCAATTATTTCAATCGCCGGTATTTAAAATAGAGAAAATTCGCTAAAACCTTTACCAAATAAAACAATGCAACTATCTAACACAAGCTAGTTTTTAATGATTTTTCTTGAAATTATACAAGTCGTTCCATGAAGACTGTTGACAATGAGCTGTTGCACGATTAAATTATGTTCAATCTCCTTTTTTATGTGTTCGCAATCTAATTCAAAATAGTTCAATAATTAAAACATGAAATATAGTGTACATAACATGTTATACAAAAATACACCTATCTCTGTTTTTGTTAGAATATTCTTACACGTCATCTGAAATACCATAAATTGTTCTTTTTACTATTGCAAGTAAATATAAATTTTCTGGTAATTACTTATATTTTAAGAACTATTTTAAGTCAACTTTTAGGCATACAGTTTATTATATACTAGGTACAAAGGTAAACCGAATTGGCACAAAACGAGGATTTGTATATTTATACTTTTATAAAGTGATAATTTGGGGGGCAGTACTATTTATGAATGCATGTTAACACGGCTTATTTTGTTAAAAGTCTACTCCTTGAAAATAATTGAAAATATATCAAAATGATGGATTTTAATAATGGCAAGACGGAATTTATTTTTAAGACAATGCTCAAACTCTATAAAAAAATTAAAATTTTACAAAATACAAAATAAAATAATATAAATATTAAAACAACAGTACTTGGACATTTGCCACCTCTTTAATCAACTGAATGCATCCTAACAGACAATTCCCGTTTTCCCAATTCCACCCCCTGAACCCAATGCTTCCCTTGACACTGAAGTGCATACTTACGAAAGCCCTCATGATGTATCCTGTAGTAAAGAAGGGACCAGAGTGAGGAGTCTTGAACTTGACCACTTATATATAGCAGATCTATATTGTCGCAGGCCCAGAAAGAGTTGTCCAGTCGTTATTTTGTAAGGTCATCTAATTTATTGCCCGGGCAGTGGATTCACTTGTCTTTACTATAGGTCAGGGAGCGTCCAGACAGTAAAAACTGACCGGTTCACTGCTCTGAAGCCGGTGGATCTTCAGAAATGTCCAGAATGAATAATTTATCCAATGAAACATTTGTCTGATTGAGCCGAGAATTGTAAATCAGTTTGTCTTTGTGCCATCTAGAGATCGCGAGGAATGCAGGGCTCGAGGTGATTAGGTTTCTATTGTTTCTGAAACAAATGTGTGGGTTTGTATATATTAGTTTTGTAAACGGCATCATTGATGAACCATGCACTGAAGGTGTTCATCTTTCCTTTGGATGGAGAACTATTTTGGAGAACTACGTTTTAACTTTTCAATTTTGACAATTTTACGTTCAAGTTGTTATTTTTGTTTTACAATCTTACTACTTTATTTTTTAATCTTGAGTTAATTTTGTTTCGTAATTATTGTGGTTACTATTTACAAAATATTCTGGAATGAAAAGAAACTGTAAAGATGAATTACAATAGTTTATGTTGGTTCTAAAACATATGGCGATAAGAATAAAGCAAAGCATTTAAAGCTAACTGGCAATCAATTAGTTATTAGTTCTTACTCAATGTTATTCTACGTAAATTCTGCGTACTTTATTGAGTCTGAAGGTTACGAAATTAATCTTTACTTACAATATGGTGTTATAATACTACTAAACAAACCGTTTTAAAATGGAACCTACAAGCATATTTTGAAATATTTACAAAGCTTACACATGCCATAGAACAAAATACAGGGTTATTCTAAATGATGGACCCATTTTTAATGCTTTATAATTGTTATACTATTAAACTTACCGCTATAAAATACACATCAAACGAAAAAGCAACTCAAAGAGTTTATGCCTTCCAAAGACACATCATTTAACAATATCGATCCAACAGAACTGTAGATTTAATTGTACAAAGTTAAAAAGTAATCTCCAACTTTTTTTACCACCAGAAATTTGGAGGTTACTTGACGTTTTTGCAAATAACTTTTAAATGGTGAGGGAATCGACCAAAGTGGAAGGCAATATTCCGAAAGAGAATAAAATTTCCTACAATCTACTATTTGAATTTTTTGAAAATACTCAAAAAAAGGTACCAAAAGTTGCCTCAAAATGAAAAAAAAAAATGAAAATCCCTGACTTCAATATTGTAGACAATAAACATAGCAAACATTAAATTTCACACTTTTTTATTTAAAGCCAAATTTAGGCCACATTTATTGAGTATTTTCAAGATATGCGTAATAGTAGATTGTAGGAAATGTTATTCTCTTTCGGAATATTACCTTCCACTTTGGTCGATTTCCTCACCATTTAAAAGTTATTTGCAAAAACGTCAAGTAACCTCCAAATTTCTAGTGGTAAAAAAAGTTGGAGATTACTTTTTAACTTTGTACAATTAAATCTACAGTTCTGTTGGATCGATATTGTTAAATGATGTGTCTTTGGAAGGCATAAACTCTTTGAGTTGCTTTTTCGTTTGATGTGTATTTTATAGCGGTAAGTTTAATAGTATAACAATTATAAAGCATTAAAAATGGGTCCATCATTTAGAATAACCCTATAACCCCTAACTTCATCAGCGACGAATATGTCTCGTACGATATAAAACCTTTTATTTTATAAGCTATTTTACTATCCTATTTTACTTGTTTACAGACGCACAGTGGATATTCGATTTTTTATTCCAGTTTACCACATTCACGAAGCATAATATTTGGCTTAACCCTATTTGTTTATGAAAAATTACATTTTATTCCAGCCAGCTTTAATAATTATGTTCTTTATATTCTCGTTACAATGATTTTCTTATTCTTTCACAGCATTAAAAACGAACCATTTCTCTATATTATTATTATATTCCAAAACACCCAGCTTTTACGATATACCACTATAACTATGGTGGCTACTACAAATAAGGCTAATTGTCATTTATGCTATAGTTAGAGATAGTTTGGCAAGACATTTTAGTAAAATAATAAATAATAATAAAAATAAATATATTCAAAAATAAATACGATCACACTTTTTATGGGAATCGTAGTAATGTCACATAGGCCTACGCCGAACAAGGATATTTTAGATTGTATACAGTATATTCCACGGTAGGCGATGTCTGTGCAATGCTAAATACAATTTTAATCAAATATATGAGCGAGTGACAAATTATTAAACATTTATCCCAATAGACAAGGTGACGTTTTATCTCTGGTATTCTTTTTCCGTGCTTAACACCCTGTAACCTTATATACAGTAGCCCGCCTTCTTATTCATTTACTTGTTACTTTTGGTTAGCTGATCTATGACGTCGCATGGATCTAATTTAAATTGGCATATTTTTGTTAGAAATATTTCAATGTTATTGTTCACTTTGACGTAATCTTCTTAGCATTATTTTATTTGATACATGAAAGCTGTTGTTTCACTGTTTAGTTTACACGTGTTGTTCTTATTTTCTCTTTTAAGTATTCACAAAATATTGCATGTAAATAATTTCTTAAGTTTAGGGATTTTATTTCGTTGTGCTTTTCTTGAAATTCTGAAATATTGTAAACATAGGCCTATAAAATTCTGGATATTCTTTATGGAAAATATTCCTATATGATTGAGAGTGTTGTTGAAAAAATCTAAAATATCCCAGATGAATCTAGAAATATCTAAAATTGAAGAATTCTAGGACTTACTATACAGGCTATAATAACGGATGTCCATAGTTTATTTTGAAAGCCAAATCGTCCTAAAGCTGTCCAAATAACACTGTACAAACTATTTTCTAACTAATAACGCAGTTACTTATTTTATATTAATTTTGGAAACAAAACTCAACTGCGTACAAAATCATTTTATAATACAAGCATTCTTGCTTTACAAAAAAAAAAAAACATACGTCAACAATTGCTACGTTTAGATACTTTTTTGTACACATTCTTGAAAATTGTATTTTATTGGTTAACACCGAGATTCACTGCTAGTAAATATCTTAAAAGACGTGTTTAATAAAATGGTTGGTAAGCAGTAGGCCGCTTTTAAAATATTGCAGCCATTAAGGTGATGTTTAAGTATTCCATATAACTCCTACAAGTTGTATTTGAAAGTTTTAGAATTAACCTACATTTTGAAAATTATGATTGTTACTTTTTTGCCTCTTAGGCCAATTTAATTATCAATAATCAGTTACCATTTATGAATTCTTTGAGACATTGACGCACACTTGATGCGTATTTGAAGGTTGAATATAAGTTAAGTGTAAAATTGATTAACATAGTCTATTTACCTTTGTTACTGACTAAGACTATGTTTCATTATTCAGGTCCATTTTTAAAATGCCCAATGTCCAAGGACAGCTGGCCAAGTTTGAACCATCAAGAGCTACTGACTTTTTCCAGAACGAAACCAGCGACCTTCTAATTAGTGGGTGAGTGCTATGACAATTCAGCTGCTGTACCCGTGCATCGCAACGGGGAGAACCAACAAAATATCAGTTCTGCACTTTGTCGTTTAGCCTTGTAACTGTTTAATGTTTTTAAACATCAAAGATCCCAAATAATTTGTTTAGTTAAAACTGCTTTCAAGATTCTTTGATTTTTTTAAATATTAATATCTATAAGGTAAACATGGGGAACCATAAGCCCCTGGGGTGGAGCCCAAATGGATTTTGAGGACAAGATTGTGCCTTTATTTTGAGAATGGGAAATATGAACTATCGTCATGCTAAACTTCAGCCAGATACAACCAGTAGTTAATGTATGATTGAGCCCCATACAAGCACACAGCTTTTAGCGTTATTATATTATTATTGTAGGTCTATAGTAGTTTACGCAACGATTGCGTTAAGTGAGTCTTTACGACACGAGTAGAAAATTTAAGGCACGAGCCTTGGCGAGTGCCTTAAAAACTTCTACGAGTGTCGTAAAGACTATTAACGTGAGTTGCGTACACTACTTTACCTACGACCGTTTTTTAATTACTATCAATCTGGATTTAATTACTAACAATCACTAATGATAACTTTTTAGAGAGGTTATGTTTTCGTGTATTGTCATTGCCACTGAAAGTGATGCAACGACTTGTTGTATAATCAGCTGATTTCCTGTAATTACGTGTTTGTTAAACTTCGTAAAATATTACATTGCTAGCAGCATTCTTACCATAAATAATATTGTATCAGGTACGATTCGGCAAATATTTCATTTATTTTTGGACTTCCACCAACTTAGTTAAGAATACGCGAGTATCAACATGAACAAGTCGGATCAACAATTAAATTGGTCAATTGATCAGCTGATCAGCTGATTAGTTGACGTTCGAAGCATTACAATTTTAATTCTTTTCTCTCAATACTTGAACCTCATTGGTTCGTTACCTGTGTGGATATGAGAAAACTATGAGGATATGAAATGAAACTATGCGGATATGAAAGTAAACAGCTGTAAAGTGAAACTTTTCAATTCTAAGAACTGGACTGAAATGGCTACTTTAAAAAACGGTCGTAGGTAATAATATATTATTTAACTGCTATATATTTCAGAAAATATAAAAAATATGTAAGTAGTTTACGTTCAGCCACAAACCGGTAAAATATTTAACCGGTAATATTTATTTTCTGTGTCTGATGTATACAGTAGTTTTTTTTTCATGTGGGGAGTTTAAAGATAATATTCCCTCATATCATGTATTATTATGGAATTTATGACTTCCGAAACTGGATTCATTTTTAGATATTGTAAAGCATACGTAAAAAGTTAGTATAGAAGGTGTATTTGTTATGGCATATTTCCTACTATAAAAACACACAGTTTCTCAAAATCAATTTAAGTCATTAGTCAATTTGCTCCAATATTCTTTTTATATCCGGGTGATGAGGTAAGAG